TCTCTCTCTCTCTCTCTCTCTCTCTCTCTCTCTCTCTCTCTCCTCTTTCTGCATATATTATAGAATTCCAAATAGAATCCTCTGGATATGAAATTGAGGCACCAAATTTAGACATGAAATGGTAATAAAGGTAAAATATGATCCAAAATATACAAGGGTAAGAATGTTATATCTATAACCCACATAAGAGTAATGAGCATCAAGGAACAGCGTAAGCGTCAAGCTCTCGTATATTTTTCAGAATGTCCATTAGAAGGTGACTTAAGTTAATAGACCTTTTCATCCTGAGAGTCACTAGATTTTCGGACATTTTTTACCAAGCTAATTCCCCTAGCAGTTTCGGATACTTTTACGGAATTTACATGTCAGTCATAATTTTTGAGTGCTCAAATGGATATTATCTTAAATGTCAATAATTACCAGAATTTTTGATCATTTTTCTGAAAATTTTTCAGTTCGATGAACAGAATAAATATTTCCCCTAGATTTCCACAATGAAAAGGTCTATTGCATATTATCTTGCAAAGGATCATTTTAGGTTGCGGGTTTATACTTTATACTTGAAATATTCAGGGTACTGATAGCCTTTTGAGGGGGATTGGATTTTAATTTATCGAGTTTACTTCGTATAATAAGGAGATGAAAATGATTTTGCACATAGTTGTGCGGCACCCTATATCTAATGTAGTGCTAAATTCCAGGGCAAGTTAGAGTTCTATTCAGCTTGGCATGGATTTTATTTAAATTTCTCAAGTTTTCTTTGTGCAATAAAATAAACAACTCTTTACCTAGATGAAGCAAAATTAATCTTTTTGAACCATCAATATCTTGTTGTAGGATTTGAATAACTCATTTCATTAGGGATCTAGAAAAATACCTCCGAAATGAAAAATAAAATTGTTGAATTTTATTCAATCGATCTTTTATTACTGAGGACTGAAAACGGTCCGTTTTACTCATTTCTCTTCTAGTCAGACAGTGTAGAATAAGTGGTTAAGAATAAGTGAATTAAGAATGTTTATAAGGATCTTGATCTCACAAGATATTCAAAAACTTGAGTGACTAGCATCTGAACTGAGTCATTTAATATCGATCTAGTATTTTGATATGGAGTTGATGACTTTGGAGATGACTAATTTTGTCAGATTCTTTTCAATCGATTCTCATTTTTCATTATTTGCAGAGTATTTGCGAATGAAACATCGCAATTTTTAGCCCCTTATGATGCTTCGGTGAGACCTCATTCTGGGGAGAGTACACCACCAGAGGTGAAACCCGATGGGAGACCGGTTATTGGTACAAGTGCCTCGCATGTACGTATTGTAAGTAGACACAGCACATGTTTTTTTTAATTTTATTGTTTGAATTTTACAAGAAATTTTGGAGGGATGAGGAGAAAAGAAATGAGTCAAAAAAGATATTAACGTTGTTTCGAAAATATCTCGTTAAGTATTAAATTTATTGTAAAATATCTATCAGATTCGAAGACATTTACAATCCAATTTGTTAATTCTTTTTTCATTAAAAAGGAGATATGTAGATGATTTTGTAAATATTTTTGAAACTGTTGAATTTATTGAAAAATGGCTGCTGACATTTGCCTTTAAACCAACTTATGCACGAAATATGTACGAAATAATTTTTATCCTTTCTCTGAACTTCTCCTTTTGCAGCCCTGCACCACAGAATCATCTTCAATAATTTCGCCATTTTCATTTCTTTAATGATTTTAATGATTTCTCCATTTGCCATTGATGACTATTTATTATTTTTGTCAATTAAAATGTTGATTTTGGCACTGCACAAACCCAAAAACGACGAAAGAGGGATTGAAACAGAGAATTAATGAAGAAAAATGGAATTAATTTTGCTCCTGGGAATGCAATAGGGTGAGCTCTCCGGTGTCTCGGGAGTGGAAGGACGTTCACTGAGTGCAGACGTTGCTGCGTGGAATCCCTTCGAGGATACTCAGCCGTTCAATCAATTAACAGAGGATCACATATTTGGTGCTGAGTTTGATAAGATAAGAAGGGGTAGTAACAGCAGCATCGGGGGTGTTAAGAGTCGCGAGAGCCTTGTTATGACCTACTCAGAGTTACCTGAAGATCCATTTGAATCTGCTCCATTTACGTTGCCTGGTAAGACCTCAAGTAGCGGATTCTAAATTAAAATCGATAGAATTAAATAATCAGCCAGTGAAAATTTGAAAATTTTTGCAAATACCTTTGGAAGGAAAAGGTTTCATGGTGTTCTGATATTTTTCGATAAATCCAATTGTTCCAAAGATAGTTCCAAAATGATTTAGTTGGGATTTTGAATAAAACATAAGCTCATTGTAAATTGTGAATTTCAAATGATTAAATTATTGTTCCAGCCGGTAAAAAGTCAAAGCTTGGATCAAAGACGACTGCAATAGCTGGAGGTAATGCTTGAGAGATTTACTTCACTGTAATTTCTATTCTTCCTCTTCTCTACTTCCTAAAATAATCAATAAATTCGAGAGAGAGAAAAAAAAACCGAAAAATTTGACAACAGAGAAACAAAAATTTCACTAACTGATTTCACCTGTTGAAGCGAAAATCTAAAATGACAAACAAGAAGTTCTGTAGACAGAAAATACGTCAAGGTACGCTGGTATCATTTCAATTTATGGTTTCGAGTAGTTGGTCTAGGACAATCGTGTCTCGTGAGTATAGTTGTGATAACATGATGAGGGGGAAAGAGGCTTAGGTATAATATCACACAAATTAACGTCCTGAATAGCTAATTTTTGTGTTGATAAGTAGGTAGGTACTTCTAGATGAACAGAAATAACAAAAAAAACATCACAGAGATGAAACAAAGAAATAAGGAATAAGCGGAAGAAACGAGTCAGTAGAGAGTCATTAATTCTTCTATTTGTTCTCTTTCGTTTTATGATTTTTTGTTCTCTTGATGCTAAGGTTAGCCTGCCGAGTGATGTAACAATGGCATTGGGCTTTGAATTAATTATTCCATGTATCTTTTGCTTCCAAAATGAAGAAATTTCATTAGGGAATTGATTTTTTGGTGATGTGGTGAAACGTTTTTCGGAGTTTATTGCAGTGTAATGAGTAGTTTGAAGGGTCAATGTCAAAAGACCATTTTTGTAGCCTGTCAATTTCTTTTAGTAAATTTAGAGCAAACCGGCGCAAATGAAACAACGTGCCAAAATAGCAATAATGGTCATTTTTCATGCATTTGGCAGCACTGTTTTATTTTGCCCGATTCTACCTTATCTTTCAACTTTTTCACTCAAACCCAATGGGTCCGCAGATAATTGCAACAGAAATCTACCACTAGAGATTCCTTACCCAATGAAAAATCTTTCCTTCCGGTGGATTTTTTTGACCATTGAAGTGCTTTATTTTGAATTGATGACTACAGATTAGTCTAGACGATCTTCAACAATTAATTGCTGAAAGATGCCCAGACTAATATACATTAACTCAGAATAAATACTTTGTTATTAATGAGTGATTATGCATTTATCATAGAAATGAGTGCTTTAGCAGAAGCTATAAAGTGACTTCTTTATGGCTAATGATATTGCTTATAAAGTCTCCTGGTCTTTCTTTAAACCCTAAATTTCCCGAAATATTGCTGATTATAATCCCTTCACCAAAATCTTCCATTCAACGTAAAATTTCCATTATCAATGCATAATAATTACGCTTTTATTTCGGGAACAAATAGACTTAGCGTGAAATATCAGACAACAAACTCGGTAGTTACCCAAAATTTTCTGCAGAAATTGTCTTCTCAGTTTTCAACCTAGAACCATTCCTTACCGGAATAAATGTTTATCAAGTCATGACGCTTCACCACTTCACTACACAATTTTTTCCAAACCTCGCCAAAGATATTCGTAACTAAATTCCCTTAATTACCCTATGGAAAAAAATTCTAAAATTGCCAATTCGAACAATACTGTCACAATCTATCTAGTCTACACGACATTAACATTAATTATAATAATTTACGTACATCAGAATGAATGGAGATTATCGATGGAAAATTCATTAGAGGAATTAATTATCGTTAATTTCAATGAAAAATTTGTGATTCAGTTTACAAAACATAGAATTCCCTGTATTGATATATGAATAATACTGTGATTTCACTTTTTGCTCAGTTATTAATTGTTACACGCTCAATAATACATGTTTTAATGATTAGCTTTGAACATAAATATTAATGTGATTCTAAAAGCAGTTTTTATTGGTGTCTGTTACTCAGCGATGATGAACAATCTACAAACATCGAATTTCTAGATGTCAAACGATGATTATGCGATAATTGAACTGTTGATCATTACTGTGTCATATCATTGATTGGTATCCAAATATTATTAGATGTCAGTTTATTCTCTTTATTTTCCTTCCTCTCATATAAAATGCGAGATTACCATTTCTTGGGCGAAGTGGTGATGGGCTGGAGATAAGTCCAAACATCTCGGGAACTACTCTGTTGAGAGGAAAATGTGAAAGGAGATCTTTGTTGTCTTGCTCTGAACCCAATAGTTTCAAAGATATTTGCAAAATAATTCACAAATATCTCTTTAACAACGCAATACCTCGAATTTTTGGAAAAACTATTTCGCAAATATTTTTGAAACTATTACATTTATCAACAAACATATTCGAATATTTGTAATAGCTCATCAAAATTTCTACAGAACTCCTAAGATCTTTTGAACATAATACAACCAACTAACTCCTTGTAGGTTCATCTCCCTCTCTCACCTCTCCTATTCTGATTCAACCATTCTCTCCAATGTTATCCCAAAAAGTGGAATTGCACTAGCAGTATGGAATATTGTGGTCTATGGACTAATGAGTGGAGTGTTGCATAATAAGTAATACAATAAAAAAATGTATGGCTATGGTTGGATACAATTTAATATTTGGAGAACGTTTTCTCGGCAGAAAAGCTTCTTTATTCAGTGTACAGTGTGGATTGTATACAATTTAAGTAATTGTACAGAAAATATTGATAACACGTGTGAAAAGAAAAATTAGATCAGAGGAATATACAGAAAATAGAAGAGTTAATTTTGCAAATATGGAATATCATTTCTCATGGAAATTGATGACTTTTCTTTTCATATCGTCTGGGACTTTCATGAGGACTTATAAATACGTATAAATATATGATATGAATATATATTGGATATGTATATACTGCATAATGAAAATCATGAAATAACAAATTTCATAGCGAAAAGGTGGAATCAGATAAATCAATTTCGTCTTGAGAGTAGTTTTTCATGAATATATTGTTACCCGAGAAAATCAAGAGCTGGAAAAATTTTGTCCGGACATTTTTCTGAAGACTCGTTCATGGGTAGAATCGACTCATCTGGCTTCACCAATTCGCCAGCCAATTCGATAATTTAGGATATCCAAGTACCTTTTACAGTTTCGAATGCACTAGAGATTTGGAGATTTTCAATTATCAAATTTGTAAATTCAAGTGCATGAGCGAGATTTGAAAAAAAAAATCATGCATAATTAACGTCGTAAATATAATATTTAGCAAAAAATACTTTTTTTCCAACAGTGTCTCCTAATAAATTCATAATAAAAATTAGTTCAACTTCCGGAAACCTTACTTCAATTGCATGAAATTCATTTCTGGTAAAATTTTGAATATGGACAAATTTGTTACGATTTCGAGAAAAATTTTCCCTTAGTTTGGAAAATTGATGATTTATCAAAAGGGGTTGGTGGTCTTAAAAAATGAATTTTCAATTATTCATAGATTGTCTTCTAACGTTGGAGAATAGAGAATCAAATTTAGATCGTGGAAGTTGACGTGATAGAATCATTACAAAATTTTTGGTAATCTAGGCTCAAATCGGGCTGAGAAGGAAGCTCTGTTGTTCCACTAAAAATGTTGAAACAGATATCAACGAAAAAAGCGGGCAAAAAGTGCTAGGATATCCTTAAATAGTATCGGCTTGCATTTAATCTCAGCAGCGGTGGCCAGACGACAATACTGTACTTACAACCCAGGGAAAAACTATATTGAATTGCTTTTCTAATGTACCAAGCACGTCAGACACCAGCGAGGGCTGATCCATTATTTTCCACACTGAGATTGTTTATGAGTAAATGCTAAACATGAGGATTAATCTGCGTATCCATTGTCTGGAACACCCTAATGAGTTTGGGAGGCGACGAATAAAGTTAAAGTTAATGTATATATATTTATATACGCGGGCTTCTTCGAGAAAAAAGCTGTGAATTTACTCAGGTTCTTTTCCTTGAAAACAATTATTTCTTCGATTGTTCAGAACACTTGCCTTTTTTTAGATTAACGAATACGAGTCTTACACATGTAACTTTGCACATTCTGGTGCTGCAGTGATTTAATTCTTAGACGGAATATTTTGCGCAGAGGTGAATTACACATTAACTCAAAAATTCAAGATTCTTATGTAATCATTTTAATTCAGCAGTGAAGTGTCTAGTTGAATATAAAATTGTTTCGACAATGATAAATTTCAGTTATTAATAGAAATAACTAATTTTTATTTTCATATCCAGAAATATGAAGATTTAAGACCCCGATGCATTATCTTTCGAGCATGATCTTGGTTGTTTTTTTTATTCTAATAATCTGAAATGATCTCCAATTGCTATTCAGTTTTACATAGCCCTGGAGTCTCCAAAAATTATGATTGTACAATGCCCGGTGGCTTGGCGCAGTGAGTAAGTTCGTTGCCTCACATGCGAAAGATTCCGAGTTCAAATTCCGGCCGGGTAGAATGGTGCGATCTAACCATTTAAAGTCTTGATCATCATCGCAGTATACTCTAACCGGGTCGGAGCGATGTAAAATAACGATAAAAAAAATGATTACACAATAAAAAAAACGTTGAAAAAAAGCTGAACATTTTCAAAGAGTGTTTTTGTAAAATATTGGGAAATAGACCCAATAGGGAGGAAATTGCAAATTAATAATTTGATGTATCTAATGGCTGTTAGGTCGTCATTTGTCACAGTAGTTAATGGCCGACAGATGGTTAGTTACCATGATAAATTATTCATTTACTATGTCCTCTCTATCGAACTTATTTGTTAATCTTTATTAAAAACGCTCTTTGAAAATGTTCATTTTTTTCTACTTTTTTGGATTGTATTGTACAATCATAATTTTTAGGGACTCCTACGTGATGTAAAATCCAATGGAAATTGTGAGATATTTTACACCATGAAGATGGAAAAACAATCGAGATGACGTTCGAAAGATAATCCACCCGGGCCTTAATGGAACACTTCAAGTACACTGATGAATTTTGCAGATTTATGGATTGTTAAGTTATAATTACCCTATATATTCAACAGCCTACCACTTAACACAGAATTAGTCGAGTGAATGTGGAATATACGTATAAAAACGTTGTACACGTGTGNATTTCTGGTAAAATTTTGAATATGGACAAATTTGTTACGATTTCGAGAAAAATTTTCCCTTAGTTTGGAAAATTGATGATTTATCAAAAGGGGTTGGTGGTCTTAAAAAATGAATTTTCAATTATTCATAGATTGTCTTCTAACGTTGGAGAATAGAGAATCAAATTTAGATCGTGGAAGTTGACGTGATAGAATCATTACAAAATTTTTGGTAATCTAGGCTCAAATCGGGCTGAGAAGGAAGCTCTGTTGTTCCACTAAAAATGTTGAAACAGATATCAACGAAAAAAGCGGGCAAAAAGTGCTAGGATATCCTTAAATAGTATCGGCTTGCATTTAATCTCAGCAGCGGTGGCCAGACGACAATACTGTACTTACAACCCAGGGAAAAACTATATTGAATTGCTTTTCTAATGTACCAAGCACGTCAGACACCAGCGAGGGCTGATCCATTATTTTCCACACTGAGATTGTTTATGAGTAAATGCTAAACATGAGGATTAATCTGCGTATCCATTGTCTGGAACACCCTAATGAGTTTGGGAGGCGACGAATAAAGTTAAAGTTAATGTATATATATTTATATACGCGGGCTTCTTCGAGAAAAAAGCTGTGAATTTACTCAGGTTCTTTTCCTTGAAAACAATTATTTCTTCGATTGTTCAGAACACTTGCCTTTTTTTAGATTAACGAATACGAGTCTTACACATGTAACTTTGCACATTCTGGTGCTGCAGTGATTTAATTCTTAGACGGAATATTTTGCGCAGAGGTGAATTACACATTAACTCAAAAATTCAAGATTCTTATGTAATCATTTTAATTCAGCAGTGAAGTGTCTAGTTGAATATAAAATTGTTTCGACAATGATAAATTTCAGTTATTAATAGAAATAACTAATTTTTATTTTCATATCCAGAAATATGAAGATTTAAGACCCCGATGCATTATCTTTCGAGCATGATCTTGGTTGTTTTTTTTATTCTAATAATCTGAAATGATCTCCAATTGCTATTCAGTTTTACATAGCCCTGGAGTCTCCAAAAATTATGATTGTACAATGCCCGGTGGCTTGGCGCAGTGAGTAAGTTCGTTGCCTCACATGCGAAAGATTCCGAGTTCAAATTCCGGCCGGGTAGAATGGTGCGATCTAACCATTTAAAGTCTTGATCATCATCGCAGTATACTCTAACCGGGTCGGAGCGATGTAAAATAACGATAAAAAAAATGATTACACAATAAAAAAAACGTTGAAAAAAAGCTGAACATTTTCAAAGAGTGTTTTTGTAAAATATTGGGAAATAGACCCAATAGGGAGGAAATTGCAAATTAATAATTTGATGTATCTAATGGCTGTTAGGTCGTCATTTGTCACAGTAGTTAATGGCCGACAGATGGTTAGTTACCATGATAAATTATTCATTTACTATGTCCTCTCTATCGAACTTATTTGTTAATCTTTATTAAAAACGCTCTTTGAAAATGTTCATTTTTTTCTACTTTTTTGGATTGTATTGTACAATCATAATTTTTAGGGACTCCTACGTGATGTAAAATCCAATGGAAATTGTGAGATATTTTACACCATGAAGATGGAAAAACAATCGAGATGACGTTCGAAAGATAATCCACCCGGGCCTTAATGGAACACTTCAAGTACACTGATGAATTTTGCAGATTTATGGATTGTTAAGTTATAATTACCCTATATATTCAACAGCCTACCACTTAACACAGAATTAGTCGAGTGAATGTGGAATATACGTATAAAAACGTTGTACACGTGTGAGATAATTTAATACAGCAGTATGCAATCAGTCTTATTGTCTACTGCCGTGTGGAATTGTTTCACACGTGGGTAGAAAGTTTTTACACGTGTGCTATTCATTCTCGTCTATATAGTTTTGGGTGAACTGACAAATGTGATGAATATGTGGTGTAATTTAGAAGTGTATGATGCATAAATGTATAAAATTCATCATTCATGTGCAATGCAATACTATTCTGAACATTTCTAAGAAAATTCAGCTATATTCACACAATCCAAGACTGTGCAGAATTAGATGTTAAGACTCTTGTGTAAATTCGAAAAGGTGCAAGGGTAGAAAACATACGCTTTTCGTCCATTGAAAAAATTTTGAAAATATAAAATGAAAGCAGAGGGATGAATTAAACATCTTTAGACTTCATTGCCCCTTCGAAGATTAACTACATCATCAATTAAGATATTAATCGGAGTAAGAACAACCCTGAGATGATAATTTTGATTTTTTGTTTGATCATTTTTGTCCCTCTTTTTTCCAATTCTCGCTGTATCTTTGATTAAGTCTACAGCAATAAATAATGTACATTAGCACATTCTGGGTCTCGTTCTTTCAAGTCACTGAGTTGTTGTTGATGATAAAACGCAGCGATTCCTTGATCTTTTTGACTGAAGAACTGGGATTTTTTAATTTGAAGTTTGCATTTTTTTTAATGATTGAATCGAAGAAATGATTTTGCTCAATGAATGGAGCTCGTATATATTGGTCGATGGGCTGCTGCGTTTTGTTACGTTTCCCACCCCTCAAATCTGATTAGGACTGTTCCAGACGAGGTGATAACGTCACTAACAATTGGGAAATTTGTGATTGTTATTTATTTATTTTTTTCGAAATGTTGGCTTTTGGTATTGGTTGGAGTTATTGTTTGGTGGATAATTCTAATTTTCAATGTAATGAATATGGTTGCGGGTACACGACACTTAAAAATCGATGGGCACTGGTTTGTAACAGACCTAATCAGACACTTCCTTTCTTATGTAGCTATAATTCAGTGGAGAAGTGGTTAAATGATTGGAGTTTGCGTCAATTAAATAATGATTAATTATCAATTTGTCTTGAGAATCAGTGGTTTTTGGAGATATTGTCAAAATAATTTTTTGTAGAGGTTTTTTTTTGAGTAATCATTGTTAATTATGTAATGAACTTGTTTTGTACTGGAGACAATTTCTTACAAAAAAGTTTTCACGAAATTTTCTCCCAAACCAATACATTGCCGAAATGATCACCAAATTATGAAAGTTGTTAGATTTCACTTAACTTTTTCACAGCGATTGTTAATTATGTAATTATTCTGTAATGCGTGAGTTTCCATGAAAATGTTAAGTGATCTTTTTCCTGCACACTCACTAATTTTCAAGATAATTACCTCATTAGTAAAGTTTTTATATTTCAGTGAATTTACCTTCTCGAAAATTATCTCACAATCAGTAACAAGTGAGTGTACGGCAAAATACCAAAAGGCATAGCATTTTCAACAAACAAGTCCCATGATATTTTTTTTCAAAACCGACACATTCTTAAAATCATTCCGCTCTTAAGGTGGACTACTATAAGTTTTAACAGTCATGGGTTATTAGCATGCGATTTCTCATACATTGAATAATTAGTGTAAAAAAATTGATTGTTTATTGTTCGTTTGCCCCGAAGACGCTTAAAATTATTGAAAAAATGTGTACAATAACAATCACGAATTAGTTTTTTGAAATTCAACTGCTGCATAGGTAATGTCGTCATTTATTTAATAAAAAAATGCTCCATTCATGTAAACTAGCCCGACAAATGTTTTTGAAAGAATCTATCTATCTGCCTATTTTATATGAATGGCGCAAATTTTGATGTTAAACAAAACGAAATTAACTGTGCAGGAGTCAAATTTCAAAAAGCTAATTCGTAATTGTTATTGCTCACATTCTTTCAAAAATTTTGAAAAAAAGCGAAATCTCTATAGCTCAAAAATTGGAGGCCCTGGACTATTTTTAACATTTTAAGCATGTGCGGAGCAAACGAACAATAAACAATTAATTTTTTTGCCCTAATTATTTGTTTTTAGACATATATAATCGATCTTCAATGTATGAGAAATCTCACTCCAATCACCCGCGGCTTATAAAACTCATAGTAGTCTACCCTTAATGAAAATTAAAAAAAATAATCTCCACTCGATTCTTTTAACCACTTCCCTACTGCAAAATCAACAATTCACAATGAAAAAAAACATCGAATTTTAATAATGACCAATGGTTTTGTCATCGATCAATGAAATCTCACAAAATCAAATTCAACAGGGAAAAGCACTGTGTTACTTAATAAATCCCTCTAAACCCGACTATTTAGGTAAGTACCTCTCCATCTTGAAACTACGCCCATCCGGGTGCAATCAGCCTCATAACTCCATCCGCTTGGCCACTAACAGAATGAAACAAAAACAAAAACATCAAGCCCTTCAGCAAATATTTCCTCCAGACTTTCGAAAACTAGCACCACCCATCATCGTGAAAACAATTCATCTCCGACTCTCTGCTTCCAGGTCCACCACCGGATCGCCTCAAGATCTCAGTCCACTGGAGTCCCTCCACAGATCCACCTCCGCCTCTGGACGACGAGGCGAGCCTCTTAGTAGATTCAACTCCGATCTCCCCTCCATTTGTGAAGATCCCAGTGGAAGACCGTTCCAAGTACGAAAAACTAGCCTTCAACGCTGATGATATTTCGAGCGACAGCTCAAATTCCACCAGACGCTCGTCTAACCGCCTCAAGAAGAAGCGAAGAAGAGTGAAAGCAGTCTTGAGCCGTCGGAAAAATCCAGCAAACCCAGACTTAAACCACGATCCGGACTACGAGTCGGACGATTCAATCGGTTCCGCGAGCGATCTGAAAGCAATGAACGACGATAACGAGACGATAGAGGACGTAGAGCACTCGAAGATAGATGAAACTATCTCGGAAAGCGTCAGAACCTGCGGTTCCTCAGCTTACCATGCGGAATGTGAGTCCGTAGCGACTCACGAGGATGATCACAGGGTGAAAAAAATCAGGAGACACCACAGAAACGAGCATTCGCTCCCTACGATAGAAGCAGCTGATCCTATAGTTGGGCATCAGTATGGGGAGAAGCCTCTCCTTCTGGATGATGAATTGGACCCAGAGTCAAAGCCTGAGCAGACCCATGGGGACCCTTTCGTCAGTCATCAGTATAACTCCAAGCCTAGAATGTTTAATGATAGCTCTTCTGAAGAGATCGAGGAGATTAATCCACTGGGGAATGGTATCTTCAAGGCTGAGGAGGATGTCTTCGCCATGGCCCCGTTTCCCAGGCCTTCCAGCTCGCGGAAGAGTAGTTGTAGTAGAGACAGTGGGAATAAAGCCATTGCGTCTATCACTCCGACACCGCCGACGGTTAGTTTGATTACTCCGATCTCAAGCTCTCCGATTATATCGGGCAATCTGGTAGATATTGTGGATGATCTTGTGATTTGTCCTCCGAGACCTCCGAAGACATCGGAGGGGACTAGAAGTAATTACGAAAATGTGGATTTCGTGATGGGATCGACGAATACGGTCGGGGGGATTGGAGGAGAGAAGGAGATTAAGGATCTTGAAGATCTTTTTGGCTCTTCGCCGTTCAACTCGACAGGTATTGACATAATATTATTTACTACCCAGAAAGAAAGTGGATCTAAAATTTTTGCTTCACTCGGTCAGAAAAAAGTTTGCTCATTGTTTCAATTTCTAATAATGATGGCAAATATTGGATAGCTTAGCAGCAAAGAACCATCAAAATCAATATAAGCAATATACGTTGAAGGAAGCTCACTTCAGAATCATTGATTTGTGCGATTAGTTCAGAGGAAGTTGAATATTTCAATATTAAGGATGTTTATCCGAAATCGCAAGTACTTAAAAACAAGCATTTTTTTTCTACCAATTCCATTGGTAATAAGCTTCGGAATGGATTCGTAGCAATTCCAATTTCAAAAATGAGAATTGGCAACTCCTATTCAACTTCCCGACTTTATCTGATGGATATTATCTTTAACAAACTAATGAATATTTGGTTTTTATTCTCCTTTTTTTTCATTTATTAATTTTTTAATATTCTCACTTTTTTGGAATGTTTTCTTCAATAGTATCAATCATAAAGGGTAGTTGAGATTAGTTAGCATTGCAAAAACTATTATTCTTTTATCTTTAATCCTATTCTACGGACGCGTCACGCCTTTTTGCATTTCATTTTATTATCTTTTTCACCACAAAATCTTTAATAAACATTAATTTATTATGAAACCGACAAATATTTGGCAATACAATAATGTTGAATGACTTTTTTAATCATCCAGACGCAAAAATCATCGATAAAGTGACGATGTATTATTTTTTTTTGGAAAAAGAGGTTTTTTGAGAAATTGCTGTATCTCGTAAACTACTGGGCCGATTGGGCTGAAACTGCGCCCAGAGCTGCTCCCAAATGATAGCAATTATGTAACAAAATTTCAGAGTTATAGCTGCAACTTTACTTGTCTTTTTGTTGAAATTTATAAAAAGTTTCCGAAAAATCTGCACACACATATTTACATACATACACAGATTTTCTAAAAACATCATATCTTCACGTTTCATGACATTCTACATCATTTCCAAACAAAATTAGAAGATCGTAAAAATGACCGACCATAAGGCTTCCATTCGGAAGTAAAAAAATTGTTTTTTTTCAACTGAGAGATGAAGATATTTCCTTCACTTTGATACAAATGTCAATCCATCGACCCATGCTCATTATTTACAAATGAAATGGACAAAATGCACCAAATGCATGCGCCAACATGCGCTTTTATGGAATAGAATCATTCAAATATTTCCTCTTTTTGCCCGGGTACCGCAGATTTTGAGAGTATGATTTTACACATTACCTTCTATTTTTAGAGTCTTCTAGTAGGTTAATTATCAATTTGAACATGAATTTCATAATGGCCCCTGTATAAGGAAAAAGGAGTTTTCATCACGCTGTGTGTAAAGTGACATTTTACGCACGCTCCGCGTGCGCAAAACCCCACTTCCCACACATTGTGATGAAAAATAGGGTCCGATACTCGCGGGACAAGTGTTTTTAGACCCGTGGGATTATATCACTCGCCTTCGGCTCGTGCTATAAACCTCCCACGAGCTCAAAAACACTTTCCCGCAATAGTATCGAAATATACCATTATCCACTTCTGCCAAGACTATTGCGATTTTTTTTTTAACGTTAGACAAATTAGTTTTATATTTTCTGCTGCTAGCCGAAAAAATCACAAAATTTTCCTTGAGCATGAAAAAAACACATTTACCGACAATTTACCGGCACTGACTAAACATCCTTAAACAGTAATATGAGTTATTTTCTCCAATTTCATTCATTTTTTTTAACCTCTAGAACGAATAGTATACTGTTAGAAAATTACTTTTGAAATTTCAAGTGAAAAATTTTGAACATGCAGGCAACAACCTCATAACATTGAGAATTCAGATGATACTGTAACTGAAATTTCAAGAAATTTCCAATATAAGGATGGAAATCCTTTGGTAAAGTCCACAAGTGTACTGCATAGCCTGTGATTCTACTACGTCCCGTTTCCCTACTAATGGACGAGCAAAATTTGGACGGATTCACGCGAGTGGTATCATTGAACGAATCTAAATTAGATGAAAACCAAAGAACCCGTAAGGTCTATATATTTCCAATTACGTTTATAAGCAATCCAAGTTTGTCGTCTTCTCACACCAAATTGATTATCGTGTATTTACGAGTTTTAAATCCAATCTCAGTATCAGTATAGGCTAATTAATTACACATCATAAATCGAGCCCGCTAGGAATTGCGTAATTGAGGGGAGATTAAAATGACTGCTTAATGATTATTTATACTTTATCGTGAATAGTTGCATATCAATGTAAAAAATGTCTCCATTTATGCAGATGGAAAATATTCGAACGAAAATTCCTGATGTTTCACAACAAAATTCTCAATAATTTCATTTTGAATTATTGAGCCTCCTCCAAAACTTATATATTCTATCTTAACAAAGGCAGAACCTGAATTTGAGTGGTGGGAATCACAAACACAAGTGGAAATTTAAAGGATTTTAACCCTAGATTGGTCACCCTATGATTGAGACCCCGCCGCGCGTTGTTTTTTTTAAATTACAATTGACTGGCTAACGGAAAATTCAAAAAAAAATTTGCCTTTGTCCATTGAAGCGTCTAAAAAATTATAGTAGTTTTTAGAACAACGTATTTTCCAAAATTCCTAAAGAAAACAAATTATTTCGGGTAGATGAATTATTTTTTCCCATGTTAAATGAAACTCGCTAAACACGCCTGGGCAGTGTAGAGTGAATTCGGCAACGCTAAAGCCTAAATAACAAGGCGGGGAATCCCCGTGGAGGTGAGGAAGTCGCAGGGTCGCGTTTGGTGACCTGACTAGGGTTAAGTTGCAAAACTTCGATGTCTACGCTACCATACCAGACTTGAGGCATTCTTCACATTACTGTGTTACAGGGTTCATCAATCCTTTCAACAAATCAAACTTCTCCACAACCGACAAAGACCATCCAGTCTACCAGAATTTCGATGCCACCCCAAGTTTTTTACCAAAAACTCCAAACAACGTAATTATCCCTGGATCTTCCATCGTCTCCTCTTCGAAATTTGGTCCAATCACAGTCAGTTCCAAGCCTTCAGTAGCTACCTTACCAGTCAAAAGGGATGAATCTCCAAAGGACTTGTTCGGATCCATCCCCTTCGACGATTTTGCTACACTCAGTGTGAACAATCTTCAAAGACCGACATCACTACCACTCTCTCAATCTCCAACGTTTGACGACGGGAGTCTGAGCTCCACTCTGCCCTCAACAGCACTGTCGAACAACTCCGTGCAACTGGGGGGGATTAGTCTTCATCAGCAAATACCTCAGACTTATGTCATCCAACCAATTGCTAGGACTATTCACACAGCTAGAATTATCGTTAATGCGACTAATTCAGTCTCTGGATCTGATGACACTCAGGACATCCGAGATCCAATGTCACCTGAACCCCTCGTCACTGACGACTCTCCCAAGTTCAAGAAGGACAAGTTCATCAAGAGTGATAAGGGAAAGTATCATTTGATCTATGAGAACAGGAGTGATATGATCAATGTTCTGCCAGTCAAGGGTTCGGGGAAACTCAAGGGAGGGGCTTATAAGAAGGTAAACAAGGGCAAAAAGGGTGGAGGTAGCGGGGTCACTGGTGGCTTCAGTAATATGAGTTTTGAGGACTTCCCTAGCGATGATAATGACGATAAGGGGGCTGGAGGGAACAGGGTGGCACCTTTTGAGGTCTTCAGGGAGGGGGAGAAACGGTTCGGGTCTCTGAAGAGGCGGAGCAATCCGTTCACTTGAGAGAGAATTTGGGAAGAGAATGGGGAGAGTCATTTTGAGTATTTATTGGGAGGGTAAGGGAGGAATGAGCCACAATAATTTTGGCTGCGGTTGAAATATGGAGTGGTTTATTATGAGAATAGTTTAGAAACTATATACAGTCGACTGTTTCTAGCTCATGAGTTTCGCGGCTTCGCATGTAGTCTTCTGTACGCACGAGAGATGTGTCCCCACGATGAGCTAGAAGGAGTGGACCTAAGAGAGTCTCCTGCACTGGGCTTGCAGGGAAATATCAAGCTCTCTTGAGTTTTTTTTTTTCTAAGCTTCGTAGTTTTCATGATATGTACAAAGTGATCGGAACGAAATGTTGACCTTTTCGTCACTCCACTAAGAACCCGAGATATTAAAGAGAAACTAGAGTATAAAATATTAGGTGTACAAATAAGTTTTAGGACACTTTGCAAAAAATTTAAAATTCATTTTCGCAAAAAAAGTAAACTACATTTATTCATCAAAATAATCTCCATCATTTTGAATGACCTTCAACCATCTGTTGGGTAATTCACGGATGCCTTCCGCAAAGAAAGTGTCATCTTGCGAGGCGAGGAAATTATCGACCCATTTTTGCACTTCTTCAAATGTTTTGAATCGCACATCAGTCAATTCGTTTTGCATCTTCCGAAACAAGTGAAAATCAGTTGGAGCTCAGTCTGGGGAATACGCCGGGTGTGGCACAACTTCCCATCCAAGAGCCATTAACGTATCTTTGACCGGTTTACCCACATGAAGCCTGGCGTTGTCATGGAGCAATTTTACTGGACGTTTTCCTTTGCCAGTAAATGGACGTTTTTGTTCAATTTCTTGGTTCAATCTTATTAATTGTCGACGATAGCGATCGGCAGTAACTGTCTCGCCAGACTTCAAAAGTTCATAATGCAGTACGCCTTTCATATCCCACCATATACACAGCATGATTTTCTTACAGTGAATATTGCGCTTCGGTGTCGATGTCGTCGACTCGCCGAGGTTAACCCAATGATATTTGCGTTTTGGATTATCAAAATAAATCCACTTTTCATCGCCGGTCACAATTTTCCACAAAGAAGACTTTCTATGTTGCTTATTGTAAAGATTCAGACATAAGTCAAGTCGGCTATCTTTATTTGCTTGAGTCAAAAAGTGTGATTCCCACTTTGTTCCTTTTCGAATCTTTCCCATTGCGTTTAAGCGATAAGAAACGGTTTGTTGAGTTACTCCAAGCTGTTTTGCAAGTTGTTTTTCCGTCTGGCAAGAGTTTTCATCCAGCAACGCTTGCAGTTCCTGGTCATCCACCCTTACAGGGGCCCCGGTACGTTCACGGTCACTAACGTCGAAATCACCTTCTTTAAATCGCTTATACCAATACTCACATGTACTTTTAGATACAATGTTGTCCCCAAGAACAGAACAAATTGATTGACATGCTTTTCTAACAGTTTTTCCTTGATGGAATTCACAGCGAATGCAAAAAAAAAATCTAATAAATAGCTTATCTGCATGTTTTATTCACAGAATTTAAGGTTATGTTTATGACTCCCTTATGCTTTGATTAGCTTTGATACTACAGATACTACATAACAAACCCTACCATATCATATGTAAGCGGTAACTTTGAATTACTTTCATGACACGGAATCGAAGTGTCCTAAAACTTATTTGTACACCTAATACCTGAAGTAATGGTGCACGTGAATTAGTAAGTAAATTATCTCGTATTACCTATTCTTTTCCTGGAAATAAATGAACGAGTGAATCAAGTATCTTTAATCAATCCCAAGTTGTTAAACTTGGTAGCTAATACCAAAAAAAAACAAAAGAGAAAAACACGAAGAAATGAAAATTGAGTGAATAAAAAAACACTGGCATCTATTTTTGCAGCTGAGCATTTTCACATATTTGTACATATGGTTTGAGATTCGTAGTTTTACTGTAGGAAAACAAGAAGGCAGACTGTTCGGCAGACTTTTATTATCAAATTGTGAATTAAGAGTAACTAAACTGGTTGTTATTAATTGATTAATTAATGTAATTAGTGTAATCACGTCTGTACCGCACACTTGCACATTTTCAGATTTACAGACGCGAGTTTGACAGATATAATTTTATTTCCATAATGAGGGTTTACAGGTTGAGGAGTTTCATATTTAAGGGGAGACTACTATGAGTTTTAAAAATCGCGGGCGATTGGAGTGAGATTTCTCATACATTGAAGATCGATTATATACATATTCAACAACGAATAATTAGTGCAAAACAATTACTGGTTTATTGTTCGTTTGCCTTGCATACGTTTAAAATGTTAAAAATAGTTCAGGTCCTCCAATTTTTGAGCTACAGAGGTTTCTTTTTTTTTCAAAATTTATGAAACAATGTGTGCAATAATAATTACGAATTAGTTTTGTGAAATTGGACTCCTACACAGCTAAGTTCGTTGTGTTTGAAATACAAATTTGCGCCATTCATATAAAATAGGCAGAAAAATTATCCTTAAAATATTTAAAATATATTCTCGATTCTTTCAAAAACATTTTTCGAGCTATTAAAACATAATGAAATTAGCAGTGTAGGAGTTGAATTTTAAAAAACTAATTTGTAATTTTTATCGTACACATTTTTTCAAAATTTTTGGAGAAAAGAAACCTTTGTAGCTTAAAAATTGGAGGCTCTGGACTATTTCTAACATTTTAGACGTCTGCGCGCAAACGAACAATAAACAATTGATGTTTTCCACTAATTATTTATTTTTAGACATATATAATCGATCTGCAATATATGAGAAATTGTATTCCAATAATCCGCGACTTTTAAACCTTATGTAGTCTTCCCTTAAACCCGTTGTGCACGTGTGTGAGACACTTTGATACAGCAGTATGATTGTCAGATTGTTCTATTATTATTTATTAAATAAGTTTCATTGTTGTCTCATTATTTACTACTGTTTGAAATCGTTTTACACATGTATTTCTCATTGGTGTGTAATCAGTTCTGTATAAAACGGAAAATTTGGTGCATATGTGGTGTAATTTAGAAGTATATAATGCATAAATGTGTGAAGTCCAACTCTGTGCAGCATATTCCTCAATGGAAATCAGCAAATGAAATTTGCAAGTGTGCAAAACAGAATTAGTAGGTACTGAATTGATTGATAGTCTTATCGTGAACACTGAAAAAAATTAATTAAGAAGCAAATGTAAAAGGATGAAAAGCAGTTGAATGGCTAGTCCCTTTTCTGAGAACGCCTTTTTCCCCCACAAGACTGATCCTGACGAAGAGCAGTTGACGTCTATGGCTCGGTTTTTAGCTGGCTTGCAATTTTTGAGACACTGTGACGATAAGCAGGGGTTTTCTATGAAATTCTAGTTCAATTGTTGAACGTTTTGAAGACTTTTTTAATATCGAAAAAGCAATTTTAGTACTTTCAGAGCTTGATGTCTTATTGGAAATCAATACTGGGGGCCTTAGATCTTACTTGAACGGGCATTCATCGTGTGATTATTGTTTTTTATGCATTTACATGCATTTCATGGGCGTTTTTTTTGTTGTAGCAATTGAGGAGTGAAACTGTTCGAGTAAAAAATAATTATTAAATAATTCAGGTAATGACTGAGTTTGGGAGATTATTTTCTAATCTATGAGAGGAAGTCTGTTGACCTTTTCTTCTGCGATCATTCATTATCGAGATAATTACGTAATTAGCAAAATTTTACATAAATAGTTTTACTTCATATCTATTGATTGAGTCTTCTAAACAATCTTCCATCATCTACGGCAAGTACTTTACTCAGCGCCGTTCGAAATTGACTGGATTCTGAAATTTTTGATTTGATCCAACGATGAGACAATATAAATTAACATCAACGCTATGAATTTTTCAACTATACAATTGTGAATACATCGCTTCATTGAATGAATATTTATGAAACAACAATGATGAAATTATGTAAATGTCAACGTGAGTAGATTAACTGTAATTAGGTGCCTTACTGCCTTCCTTTGTCACATTTATTCGCATGTTTGAGAGATATGTAAAGAAATCTTGAAGTCAATCGTAAAAATGAAGCTAATCAAGAGACATTCTACAGTAACTTTCTTACATGGTCAAATGTTATGATTGGTTCATTCATACACTCGTTGCTACAAGCTAATGCCAATGAAACCTCAATTAGTACTAATTTGTATGGGAAGTAGTTCTTAATTCAGTAGTGAAACAGTAAAGAGTAACAATCCAAACGGGACAGCTTTAGAAATTACGCAATTTTGGGGGATACTATTGATGTAACAACGAAATTCCAAAAGACCTCTCTCGTAAATCAGGCAATTTGCATCACTGAGTGTCTTCCGACATTTTTCTAAAAACCTGATAGTTGCAGGGATACCCACGATTGTAATTAATTATGAAATTTCCAGTCAAACGAGAATCTTTCATTATCGATTATTAATTGTGCAATAATCTCTGGAATGAGTGCTGTTATGAAAAAATATCAAAAGACCTTTTTCCCCTGAAACCCCTCATCGTCGAAATTACCCTTTTGTTACATTTTATTGATTCCCGGCTGGGTTCATTATTGAAAATCAATTAAATGCGGGAGGAATGTCATTTCACTTAGCTGGTTGGCCGGAGGGAACAGCATTTTCGTTCGATATGCATTGATGTATGTTAGTGCCCTTAGAACTCTTGAAAACTCATAAACATCCCCCCTCCCCTCCCTCCCACTTATTTATCATTTACAAAATATTGTTTATTTATTGAATTAGCACCTTTTTATAGTAAGTATTAACTAGGAGACAGTGGGGCAAAATGAAACAATCGAAAAATGAGTGTGACGTAATTGAAGCAAAAAAATTTTTTTCTGAAATTTTTTTTTGTCAACTTTCTTTATTATTGGGAGTACTGATGAGAGCAATAATTTTCTATTCGTCTTATAATTCAATTGATTAGATTAGGCCGATTACACTTTTCTTTTTTCATTCGATTGAAATTCAGCATCATATTTTCCTTTTTCCCCCTCTGGGTCTCCCCCTGCCCCTTCCTCTGGACTTTGGATTTTACTGTTTCATTTTCTTTTCAATTAATCCGTTGACAAAATCTTCTCCCGTCAAAACTTCTCAATAATTTT